GGACAGAGAGAGACAGAGCGTGAATGTGGGAGGGGCAGAGAGAGAGGGAGACACAGAATCGGAAACAGGCTCCAGGCTCCGAGCCATCAGCCCAGAGCCTGACGCGGGGCTCGAACTCACGGACCGCGAGATCGTGACCTGGCGGAAGTCGGACGCTTAACCGACTGCGCCACCCAGGCGCCCCTGACATCTCAATTTAAAAAGACAATCAAACAGGGGCACTGGGGCATCTCAATTGATTGAGCATCTGACTCTTAATTTTGGCTCAGGTCATGTTCCCAGGGTCTTGGGATCAAGACCTCTCACTACCTCTCTCTCTCTCTCTCTCTCTCTCTCTCTCTCTCCTCTCCTCTCCTCTCCCATTGCCCTTCTCCCTCCTTTGCTCTCTAAAAATAAAAAAAATTAAATTAAATAAAAAAGACAGTCAAGGTATGTGGAAAGGTACTTGTACAAAGATGTTATTTTTAATGCAAAAACCAGACACAGCCTAAAAGCCCAGCAACAGGCTAAATTATACTTTGACCATGCTATGGAGTAACACAGAGCTACGAAGAATGAAATTGAACATTTACTGAATGATTATCTTTGGGCAGTGGTATAATGGGCTTGGATTTAACTTCTTGGTATTTTTCCAAGTTTCTCATCTGAACCATGTCTGTAACTAGGAAAAAATGGTCGAAGGTTCCTTTTCAAAGGGGCTTTTACCATTTCAAACTGGAACATCAAAGATCATCCAAAGGGGAAGTTCGACCCGTTGGCCAGTTGAGTTTTAACCCAGCCAAAAGGTGGCAGCAACTTCGACCACTGCCTCCAGCATCACCATCCGCGTCCTGAGCACATTAAGGGTGGTCGGCCCCAGGAGAAGAGAAGTTGGAGCCTCCCGTCTCTGTTTGCCAGTTTCTTCGGCCTCCACCTCTGACCTGGCCCCCGGACATGGGCTTTTTTTGCTTGTTTTTAAAGCTCCTCTAATTGGCGCTAATGGCCAGCCACAGGTGGAAACCCACGGTTCTGTTCCATTTTGCCCGTTTGCAGATGCGGCCCAGGGAAGTTCCCTGAGTCACAGAGGCGGAGCCAGATCTAGGTGTCCTGATTCCTAAGATGGTTCTTTGCACGTTCGCAAGCCAGTAAAATCAAGGGTGGGTTTTCGTGGATTGACGCACCTGGAGGGCCCCAAAGGTTTCAAGAAGGAAATAGGAGTACAAAGACTTCCGTAAACAACGTATCTTCGATCCCTGCCTCAACCCAACCGTAAGACGATGTCTGCGCAAATAGTTATCAAAAAGTATTTATTGAGCACGGTACAATTTGGAAAGACCACTCCGGTCTAACAGGGTGACGGGGAACGGCACTGCACCGTCCATCTGAAGGCAACTGAGTTGAGTAAGCAGCGATGATAAAAAAAAAAAAAATCAAAATACCGTTATATCCACGCTGGCTTTATCACAGGAAAAAAAAAACACCAAAAACCCAAAACACACCACAATTGTAAAGGCATTTGCCCTTCTACTCGGTCCCAGGATCCCTGCCTCTTGATCTTGGCTACTACCAAGGAGGTTCTCTTACAGTTACCCTTGCACACTGAGAGCAACGCGTTCTCTTTCCACCCAGCCTCTGCCCTGCTCCCAACCAGCCCAACACCTCACACCTGCTCAATGAGACAGATAAAATGAAACCCTGGAGTTTTTCCCTGGAAGGTGCATGGAGAGAAGTTTAGACTCGGGAGTCAAAAGGTCTCACTGTGTGGACACCTGGGAAGTCCTCCATAAAGCATTTAACCTTCTAGGAGTCAGAACCTGCCTGTGAAAGTCATGACTACCAGGAAATCTCTGAGGTCCACTCTGACTTAGTCAATGACAGCTTTGTGCAAACCCGGCCCAGCCCCGGTTTGTAAAAGATGTAGTTAATCTTTAACTAATCAGTGCTATGGTGTTACAGGAGAATTTGTAAAGGAGGCCCTTAATCATTTCCACATTTGTCCTGTTTTAAGAATTAAAAAATTCAGCAAATGTGGGAGGTGAGAAAAAGTCGATTTGTTGCATTCTAAAGTCACCCAGATGAAAACACTTCTCTACTGTTTGAAGGACCTAAATCAGCGTCCAAGAGCTGCCTGCCTTCTAGGCTTGGTGGGGAAAAACGGATTTTCAATATTTAGTCTTCAACTAAAAAAAAATCTTTCATATCTTATCTTGAATTTTTAGCTCTCTCTTCCTTTTTCATCATCTATAGTGAGTGCAGTCGTGTTTGGGATGGGAAGGGGACAACCCCTACCATTCTGTTCGCCGAAGCAAAAAGAGAGGTCTTTGCAAGAAATCTGCTTCTCTTGCTTTTAAAAGGCAGGTTTAATTTTGCAGCCTGCACTCACATTCACAAAATTCACTGATCTCCCATGTGAAGAAAATAATGAGCACACCAGGCAAGTTTCCTGCATTCTGAGAGCTTATCACGCGCTGGAGACTGGCAATAATCAGCCACACAAAGGCATGTTTGCACAATGTGATACATGCTATAATGAAGAATCACAGGAAACAAAGAGAGCCTATAAGAGGGGGAGTGAGATCGGAAGGTGAGCAAAGGTGTCTCTTGAACTGACCTTTGAAGCTGAGAGATGAGTGGGACTGTTTGGAGAAAGGACAGGCAGCTGAGGCAGACCACGGGCTGGGTCGAGGCCAAACCTCCCGGGGGTGGGGGGCGGGGGGAGAGCTGCTGGAGAGAAGTTTTCCAACCACCCCTTTAAGGTCCTATTAATTGCCCAGAAGGTCCTATTAATTGCCCAGAAGGTCCTATTAATTGCCCAGGGCAGGTGTCAATCATTTTCCTTTGGGAACTCTCCCTGGATTTGCAAAATAGTAATCTTCCCAAGTCACCTGAAACAGACTCATCTTTAAAAACGTTCATTAACTTCTCAAATGCTCAAATGTATCAAATGCTCTTGTGGGGTATTTTTCCCCTCAACACAATGACCTCTTACCATGAACTTTTAGCTTCCTCTTAGTATTTCATGATCTATCGTAAGTGAAGTCATGTGTTGGACGGGAAGGGGGACACCCCTACTATGTGGCTGAGTGCCCCGGCTTTCTAAGCCAGTAGAAGACAATTCTCTGTAAGAAATCTGCTTGTTGCACTTAAAAAAATTTTTTTTAACGTTTATTCATTCTTTGAGAGACAGAACAGAGCTTGAGCAGGGGAGGGGCAGAGAGAGAGAGGAAGACAGAATCTGAAGCAGGCTCCAGGCTCTGAGCTGTCAGCACAGAGCCCGACGCAGGGCTCGAACTCATGAACTGTGAGATCATGACCTGAGCTGAAATTGGACCCTCAACCGACAGAGCCACCCAGGCGCCCTGCTTATCCGAGTGCTTTTAAAGCACAAGAGGAACCTTGTCCAGAATTTAGTTTCCTCACCAAAGGTAATGTGTCAAACAGTTTGAAAAGCACTAGTGGGAAAATGCACACTTCTTCAGCTTCCTGAATTCGAGAAACAGGGGAAGCGTGTGGGGAGAGAGCAACAAAAAGCAGTCTGTGCACCCACCTGTGTGTGTAAATGGCATGTGTGCGTACGTGCATAGAAAAATCTGTGCCACATTTCCAGTACGTGACGGTTCTTCTCTCCTGACTGTCCCGTTTTTAAGACAAGGCAAAAGGCAAGGTGGGTGGGTCTCAAATTTATCTAAAAGTTACTAGATGTTGGGGCGCCTGGGTGGCTCAGTCAGTTAAATGTCTGACTCTTGGTTTCAGCTCAGGTGTCGTGAGTTCTAGCCCTGCATTGGGCTCTGTACTGGCAGCACAGAGCCTACCTGGGATTCTTTCTCTCTCCCTCTGCTCCCCCTCCCACTCTGTCTCTGTCTCTCTCAAAATAAATAAGCTTAAAAAAAATTAAAAGTTACTAGATGTCATGTGGGACCGAGAAGAAACAATTAAAAAGAAAAAGAAAATTATAGAGGATTTTTCTAGAATGGAATACACCCCCACCCTCTCCAATAAGTTTTGTAATTCGATGCTCACAATATCCCATCCCACATGGAAGCCAGGTTCTTCTTCAGTTACTAGATCTAGAAATCTACTCATAAATAAATGCCACCTTCCGGTCACCAAACCGGCTCCCCGCCCCCGAAAGTAGTTGCAATTGTAAATACATTGCTTCTTTCCTTGGCACCTTGTACCTCGCCCAGGGAAAGGGCAGCTTCTGTGGGTGCCCAGGGCAGGTCACCGCAGCAGAGAGCCCCCCCGCCGCCCCCGCATTTGCAGCTTCTGTGGTCCCTCCCGCCTCGGAGTCTCTGTGCACTGCGCTGGCTCCCCGAAGCCGCAGTGGGTTGTATAACCACACTCTCCGAAAGCCTGGAGGGGAGCGCGGGGAGCCCTTTTTTTTTTCTTGACAGCATCTGTCAAAAGTCCCTGGTGCCAGTTAATAAGAGACCCACTCGGCAGGGCAGGGGTGGCGTCTCGGACCCCCTGTTGGTAGGGGGTGGGGGTTGTGGACCTCTCCAGGAGCGGTATTTAAACCTGAACTTCTGTCCTTCGAGCTGGAAATGCAGGGCAGTGAAGGGCACACGGAGCCCCTTGGGTGTGGACCAGGGAAGGGGGGATGGGAGGAAACTCCTGAATCCCTGGGGTGGGGGCTAGGGGGTTCGCAGAATTTCTCTCCGGAGAAGCCTCTCGTGAAAATGTCAAGGACATCTCCCCTCCTCTTTCCAATTACGTAACTCTTACACATTTGGGAGGATATTCGCGAACATACATTTCACTTAACGAAGGCAGAAAGTCTTTAGACTGCATCTAAAGCTCCTGGTGCATCTGATGTCGGAACAGACCTGGCTGCGACCTGGCCGCGTTAGAGGTGGCATCCTGGTGACCGGAGGCCCCCCCTCCCCCCCCATACCCGGCGCCGGGAGCCGGGTCGCCGCCTGGGATGGCGCTCGCGGGTCCCCGCGTCGCGGAGTCTGCAGGCCCAGCACGTCCGCAGGCTGCCCCCTCCCCCACCGCGGAGAACACCTGGCAGCGGTTACCTGCGGGGCCGAGACTCTCCGCAGCCCGTTGGCCGGCCCCCCGCCGCCCTTGCCGTTGGCGTCAGACAGATGCCCGAGCCCCAGCGCCCGCGCCGCGTCCTCCGCGGGGTCCGCGCCGTTCTCCGGGGGGCCTTCCTCCGGCGCCGGGAAGAGCCCGCAGCGGCGCTGGAAGCGAGCGACGAGCTGGGAATCCTGCAGGCTCCGCAGCAGCTCGGCCATGGTGAGCCCGGGGCCGCGCGCCGCCGCCGCCGCCACGCCGATGCCCTCGGCTCGCACTGTCCCCGCCGCTCTCGCTCCAGCCTGGCCGGGCACTCCGGACGGAGGGCGGGCGGGGCCCGGGGCGCCGGCCAACAGGTGCGCCGCTCGGGTCCTAGCGCCGCCCCGCGCGCGGGCGCCCAGGTGGCTGCCTCCACCTTGCGCGGGGCGCGTCCCGCCCTCCTTTCCCTCCCGGCGGGCTCGGACGGGCTCGGGCAGTCCCCGGCGTCCGGCCCGGTCGCTCCTGGGCGGAGGCGCACAGGTGTCTCAACCGCACCCCTCTTCGCGCCCCCGCACCCCCAATCCCTTCGGGCCGGTGCAGACGTGCCACCTAATGGGAGCGGCCGAGCACAGTGCGGACCTGAGCGGGTCCTTCCTGCCATGCGCGGGCTGATCCCGTAGTGACCCCACTTTCACTATTGAGCCCAAGGTGAGGTCGGACTTCCTTCCAGCTCCCTCACCCAGCCGTCTACTCGTGCCTTTCTTTGCCTGCTTCGCGCAAGAATGGGCCCCCTCAGGAAGGTGCCCAAGTTCTTCCCAAACCGATGCAACGTCTCCCCGAAGCCCGACCTCCTCGACCTTGCTCAAGAACGGAGGGAGTTGAAAGCACACCCTGAATCATCCTCCGAGTCCTTGCTCCTGCTCTTGTGATTTGGCAGTCGGTTCATGAGCACCTTCAGAGGGGTGTGGAGGAAAGCCTGTTCTTTCTCGGTTTTCTGCGTTGAGAAAGATGCTGCTGCCTCTCCCTTCTCCTTTTTTCTGCTCTGCCTCTAATTTAGGCAAGAGCGCTGGAGAGACGGAAGGAGATCTTTCGTGACCTTTAGACCCTGAGGGATCAAGGTGTAGGGCTGGGAGGAGGATTTGACATCTCGCTGCAGCTGAAGCCAGGCCTGCTTGAAGGATCCCAGCAGGAGAGAAGCAAAGGAAATGTCCTGCAGGTGGCCTTGGTTTGTCTTCCTTTTGCTAGAATCTCCTAGAAGCTCAGAGATCCCCCCCCCCCCCCGCCCCCGCGGCCCGGGCCTCTGCACTTCCTCACATGGAGTGAGGTCAATTAGGCCCAGCAGCTCAGTCTGCAACAAAAGCGCAATCCTAGTCCTGCGTCCGTTTACAGCCTCAGGCCCCGTGCCCCCTGGTAGCCATGCAAAGCCTTCCTAGTATTTGGTTGCACAAATGACTATGAACAAACACCTGCCACTTTCCCATTCCTCCAGTTGTCCTTTTAGATCGGGAAGCCTTTGGGACGCAGCGTCCAAGGAGGATTTGGTCTCCCTCATGCCTTGGTTTCTGCTCTCCTTCCCCAGCCTGATGGAGAGCAAGATCAAGGTGGCAGAGAAAGCAGTGAAATTTGGGAGATACTTAACTTACAGAAGGCGCACAGGGCTGCTGTCACAAGCAGGTGGAGACGTCCGGTCCCGGAAGCAGAAGGTCCCTCTCCCCAACGTTGCTGTCATTTTACAGCCACTGGGCCCAAAGCCTATAGTTTAGTTTTAAAGGCTAAAGTTGGAGTCGTCTGTGACCTGTTGTTTTTATATGTTTAAAGGAACGGGTTTTCCCATGAAGACACTGGAGTGATGTATCTCTGCAATTTAATGCTTTAGTTTTCCTTTCCTCTCACGCAGAAAAAAGAAGCCAGGCAAGCACAACCCCTGTAGCATAAAGCCAAAGAATTGTACATTCACACAGTCTACTTTACCTCCTTGGAGGGCCATGTGCTGGCTCTGGCTTCCGGTGACTTGTGATGTCACCGTGTGCCTCAGTCTTTCCCTGTGATAGAAGAATAACCCGCGCCTCCTGTCTTACAAGGCTACTGCGAAAAAGCTTTAGAAGGCGACCGGGTGACATAGCCTTGCATGTGCCAGAAACATTCAATTTAGGCAGGAATCTTCAGGAGGATTGGGCCCCGAACGTCTCGAGTGACACTGAAAAGCTGGTGACCTCTGGCAGGGATCCGTATGCTTCCCCAGATCCTGTCTTCTAAGCACAGGCTGATGTCCTGACAATAAATTTCCCAACCAATCTAACAAAAATCACCATCTTCGAGAAGCGAAGTGGTAAACTGAAGGACTGTGCCAACATAACATCTAGTGGAGAAGTTACAGGGTAGCCTGAAGTCATGCGTATAAGTAAATAAATTGGATGCAGGAAAAATAACCTGTAGCTTTTTGGACAGTTTAGCACTAGTCATGCCTGGGGGAAGAATTTTTGCTGTTTCTCCCCGCCCCACCCCTGGCCCGGGGCAGAAGTCAAGGTATTTGTACTTTGCTTCGTTGTGTATATAATAATTGCCAAGTGACATATTGTAAAGGAACGATGATGGATGTATTCATTAGAGCGAAGGTTAAACTGCTGTAAAAAAGAGACCCCAAAATCCAGTGGCTTAAAGAGCACAGCTATTTGATTTCCCTTTCATGTAACAGTTCCCAGGTGAGAGGTCTGGGTGTGGGAAGTTCTGCTTCATGATGCTACACAGTAACTCAGGTTCTTTTCATCTTATTGCTTCACTACCCCGTGGGACCAAGCCGAAGGTCACTGTCCTCCTCTGCATGATTGCAGCTGGGTTATGGGCACGTCTGAAATCCAGTGAATGTCCTAAACAGCAGTCTATGTTGCATCAGTAAGAACATCGGTACATGGCCCGAGACAGGCTTGGAAATGTCATCTTTAGAGGGCAGCTTATGTCCCGCTTAGACTATATTTATTTATTTATTTTTTTTAATTTTTTTTTTTAATTTTTTTTTCAACGTTTATTTATTTTTGGGATAGAGAGAGACAGAGCATGAACGGGGGAGGGGCAGAGAGAGAGGGAGACACAGAATCGGAAACAGGCTCCAGGCTCTGAGCCATCAGCCCAGAGCCCGACGCGGGGCTCGAACTCACGGACCGCGAGATCGTGACCTGGCTGAAGTCGGACGCTTAACCGACTGCGCCACCCAGGCGCCCCGACTATATTTCTGTGAAAGAAGAGAGGACAGATTTTTTTGGTGGATGGAAATCGAACCAATGTTGATTTAAATGTCGTGCAATATAAATCTATGTTATAATTCAACCCATGACCTGCTCGATTTTATCTAGGCAGTCTGTCTTTGATTTGACACATTCTAAATACTCATGGGCAGATAACAATTTTTTTAAAAAAAAGAAAGCACTAAAAATAAGTAAATTCGAAGGGAAAACTGTCATATCTTTATTGAATCAAAATGAGTGGGGCGCCCAGGTGGCTCAGTTGGTTAAGTGTCCGACTATAGCTCAGGTCATGATCTCTTGGTCTGTGAGTTCGAGCCCCTCATCGGGCTCTGTGCTGACAGCTCAGAGCCTGGAGCCTGTTTCAGATTCTGTGTCTCCCTCTCTCTGCCCCTTCCCTGCTGTCTCTCTCTTTCTCTAAAACATAATAAACATTAAAAAAAATTAAAAAAAAATTAGAAGAACATGGTGTTAAAATGCCTTTTAAATGAAAAACTTTCGTAATGATTGCATTATTGCATTTTAAATTCTTTTAGAGTTCTCTCTCTACAGAGCAGGTCATTTCCAAATGGCAACTAGACCATTCAGTTTTCAACTTGGCAGTATTTCTTAGATCAAGACAGGTGGCCAGGGTTGGGATTGTATATTGGTCATCCACAGCTGCATAACAAATTGTCCCACAAATAGTGGCTTAAAACAACATTTATTATCATGAAGTTTCTGTGGGTCAGGAATCCAAGGAATATCTTAACTGGGTCCTCTGGCTCTGGGTTTCTCACAAGGTTGCAGTCACCTCAAGGCTCACCTGAAGGTAGATCAGCTTCCAAAATCACTGAAGTGGTGGCTGGTAGATTTCCATTCTTTGTGGGCTATTGGCCGGGGGCCACCCTCTCTTCCTTGCCATACGGGTCTCTCCATGGGACAGCTCACAGCCCACCCACCAGCTCCCTTCCTTCCTTCTGAGAGAATCAGAGAAGACAAAGTAGCCATCTTTTATAATCAGATATTGGAGGTCGTACACCAATATTCTATCATATTCTACTTATTAGAAGCAAGTCACTAGGTCCAGCCCACATTCAAGGAGAGAGGGGATAAGACAAAAGTGTGAATGGTAGGGTGTAGGGATTACCAGGACCTCCATTTTGGAAGCTTCCCACTATAGGTTCTTCACATCTATGTTAATTTTCTAACTCCATAACTGCCATATCAGTCTTTATCATCCCTAACAAATATGATACATAGCCTTGGCCTCAAACAGCGTCCATCTGTTGCAGAAATAAGATACACGTACACAAAAAAATGTGCAATAATAGGAAACTGGTGTAGTGAAAAACATAGGCTATCCGAAGACCGATTACTAGTGAAAAACTACATATACCACAGCTGTAATTCTCAAATATGGGATTAGAATTACCTCACAAATGTGCCAAAGTTACAGATGCCTTAAAACAATTGAAAGCAGAGGGGTGCCTGGGTGGCTCAGTCAGTTAAGCATCTGACTCTGGATTTCAGCTCAGGTCATGATCTCATAGTTTGTGAGTTCGAGCCTCACAATGGCAATGGGGAGAGGAACTCTCTCTCTCTCTCTCTCTCTCCCATTCTCTGCCCCAGCCCTGCTCGCTCTCTCTAAGTAAGTAAACAAACAAAAACAATAAAAAAAAAAAAAGACAACTGAGGAGTGCCTATGTGGCTCAGTCACTTAAGCATCTGACACCTGCTTGGGTCATGATCTCGCGGTTTGTGGGTTTGAGCCCCGTGTTGGGCTCTGTGCTGACAGCTCAGAGCCTGGAACCTGCTTTGGATTCTGTGTCTCCCTCTCTCTGCCCCTCCCCCACTTATGCTCTGTCTCTGTCTCTCTCTCAGAAATAAAGAAATGGTAAAAAAAAAAATGTTTAAAAGACAATTGAAAGCAAAAGTCATTAAGTTAGAAAACAGAAAAACAATGAAACTGATAAATCCAAAAATTGAATCTTTGGGAAAAAATCAACAAAATTGAAACACCATTAGCCTAACAAAGAAAGAATAAAAGGAAAAAACCATGAAAGCTCAAAATTAGAAATGCTAAGGAAAAATAATCATTAAAAGCAGAGGAAATTTGGAAAGTCCTTAGAAGGTACTTCACATGGCCCAATGCAAACAAATCTGAAAATGTAGGCGAAATAGACAATTTTTTGATGTTTTTATTTATCTATTTTGACAGAGAGAGACAGAACATGAGTGCGGGAGGGGCAGAGAGAGAGGGAGACACAGAATCGGAAACAGGCTCCAGGCTCCGAGCCATCAGCCCAGAGCCCAACGCGGGGCTCGAACCTGCGGACCGCGAGATCGTGACCTGAGCTGAAGTCGGACGCTTAACCGACTGAGCCACCCAGGCGCCCCCAGACAATTTTTTTAGAAAGAAACAACTCACTAAAAATTGATCCCGGTAAACAATGTCTAACAGAGCAATCATCACAGAACTAGATAAAGGGGTTCAAATTCTCCCCCATAAAAAGCACTTACCCTAGATAACTTCACAGGGAAATTCTACCCCCACCTTTCAAGAATGGATAATCTCAATACTACTTATTCCAGAAGAGAGAATTTTTCAATATTCCTTTTATAAAGCCATTATGATATCGACCTCAAAACTGAAGGAGCATTAAAAGGAAAACAACAGAATATTCTCACTTGCGAATAGGGTTCAAAACCTTAAGATATCAACAGCTAAAATCTAGCAGTCCATTTAAAATAGAATGTATTGCGGCTAAGTGCAATTTGTTCCAGTTGTAACATTAACAGGTATAATTAAATAACAACAACAACGAAAATCCATCAGTATTGTCCATCCTATTAATAGCGCTAAGGAGAAAAGTCATAGGATTTCTTATGTGGGTTGAGTTGTGTCTCCCCCAAAAGCTATGTTGAAGTCCTAACACCCGTACCTCAGAATGTGATCTTATGTGGGAAACAGAGTCACTGCAGGTGTAGTTAGTTAAGATGAGGTCCTACTGGAGTAGGTGGGTCCCGATCCATCGGACTCGTGTGCTTCTAAGAAGACTGCTGCGTGAAGACAGACACACAGGGAGACCGCCATTGCTGATGAAAGCAGAAACTTGGGGCTACACGGCTGGAAGGAAGACGGAAGATCACTGACAACCCACCAGAAACTAGTGAGAGGCAAGGAAGGCCTCCCCAAAGGGGTTTCAGAAGGGGCGTGGTCCTGCTGACACCCAGATCTCAGGCATCCAGCCTCCACAACCGTGACTTAACAAAGCCTACTCCTTCAAGCCACCCAGTTTGGGGCACTTTGTCCCGGGAGCCCTGAGAAACCAATATAGGCTCATTTCGACACATGCAGAAAAGTCATGTGACAAAATTCAGCACTCATTCTTGTCAAAACCCCTCAGTCACATAGAAATGGCTGCCGTGTCCGGGGTCAGTGAGCCCTTGGTGTTGGTTGGAGGGGAGAGTCCCTGGATTGTGTGGTGGAGTTACACGGGAGAGATAAATTGTGTCTGTACGCAGGGGGCCCTGAATGGCAGATTATAAAGTTGGTGGTGTATGTTTGAGGTAATGAGAAGCCACTGAAAAGCAAATGAAGAACCTGAGGAAAGCAGTGTTTCCAGACAATGACTTGGGAGGCTGGCTATTGGATGAATGGTACGTGGAGGCAGACAGCAGCAGCTAGGGATGTGGAGATTCATTTCAGTGCCATTTCGATAATTCCGATTTTTAAAAAGTGTTTATTTTTTGAGAGAGCACAGCAGGGGAGGGGCAGAGAGAGAGAGAGAGAGAGAGAGAGGGACAGAGGATCCGAAGCAGGCTCTGTGCTGATAGCAGTGAGCCCAACGTGGGGCTCGAACTCACGACCCGTGAGATCATGACCTGAGCCCAAGTCATGACTGAGCCACCCAGGCGCCCCAATAATACTCATTTTTAAGACTTTTTCAAGTGGAATTTTATTTAATTGCATAGACAAGCAAATGTGAATCTACTGTTTGGTGTTTTTTTTTTTTTTTTTTAATATACAAATGGTAACATTCTTTACATAATGTTCTCTGTCTTGCTTTTCTCACTTATGATATAATTGGAGATTGTTCCCTATCAGTGGAAGAGACACTACAATTTATCTTACCAGTCATCTACTGCAGAACACTTGGGGTGCTTCCAAACAATGCTATTCCTGATTTGAATGTCACGTTCAGGCAGCTCTGGTCCAGGGTTCAAGGTATCAGGCAGCTGATTCTGGTCCTAGAGTAACTGTGGAAGCCACAGGACTACCTTGGAGGTAGGTAAAGGGACCAAACCCGGTCTGGAAAACCCATCCAACCCAAGGTGAACTGGGGCGGGGGGGTGTGGGGGGTGTGGGGGGGTGGGAGGTGTTCTCAGAGCAGTAGAAAATCCTCTCAGTAAAGGAGGTTTTCCTCCATGGTCCTTGGCTTGTGGGAGTGTCACTCCAGTCTCTTCTTCCTCTGTTGTCACATGGGGCTCTCCCTGTGTGACATTATGTCCATTTACTAATATCAGGTACTGTTCTAGGCTCGGGGCCACAGAAGTTCAAAAACACCCCAGTACCCTTGGATCATGGAACTTATATTTTAGGGGGGACACAGCTAATAACTATCAAGTAAATACGTAGTTTTAGGGTAAGGAACACGGTGCCGGGAGGGGGGAGACATATTTAGGAAGGGATATTTGTGTAGAGTGAAGGAAAGGAAGGAGCGTTGCCCTACCCAGATCAGGAGAAAGAGCATTCCAGACAGAGGAAACGGTGGCTGGAAAGGCCCTGAGGCAGGCCCAAGTTCAGCCAGTTGGAGGAACCACCAGAGGCCAGCAAGGTGGGAGAGGCTTGAGGGCAGGGACTGACTGGGGAGGGGTGAGCAGAGGCTGGATCCCGTAGGGCCGTGTAGGCTGTGATAAGGAGTATCACTCCCACTTTACAGATGAGAAAATGGAGGCTCAGAAAGAGGAAACGTGTCCAAAGCCCCCAAGTGTAAGTGGCAGGAGGATTCGGTGCAGGTCTGTGTGACTCCAAAATTTCTTCTATTACTACATTACGTTCTAGTCCCAGGGTTTGTCTTTTACTCTTTGTGTCTATATTGGAAAGTATCCCCCGCATGAACTAAGCGCTCCATAAATCCTCCTTCAATGACTACTGACCTAGACTAAGAGTAAAATCTCGCCGTTTTTAGAGCTCTTAGAATTTACAACGCATTTTCAAAATTGTTGCATGTAAACTCTACGACCTTGAGAGGCAAGTGGTTTTTACCTCCATTTTACGTGATTTTCCCCCAAATTACAAAATGTATTGGATACTTTTTGCAGGATCTGCCATCGGACGTGGCTCTTCTGGGGGGAGTTCTCTTCCCCTCCACAGGCTGGCTCCCCTGCGGGAAGGAAGAGGAACAGGAGAGGAGGTTGGCGGTCATGTTGGAGCCCTAGGTCCCCTCCCCTGCTCCCCCATCCCCTCCCTCCCCCTCCCAAACCAAGCCAGAGTGAGCTGGCCTTGGGCTGGACACTTGACCTAATTTGAGCTCCCCAAATGCTTCCTCTCTGGCAATTGCCAGACCCCAGTCGGCATCTGCTGAACGAAAGAGAAGAAAATTTAGAAACCAGAGCCTGTACCGCGTGAGGAAGAAATGTAGCAGATGTGCAGGGAGCAGGCGAGGGGAGCAGACCACCCCCAAGTCGGTTCTATGGTGCCTGCTTCAGTCTTTGGGAGGCTCTTCCCGCGCTACCCTCGAACCCCTGGTCTCAAGTTCCCCATTTCTATTACTTGTGGCCCAAAGAGGCCTAACTCAGATATCCAGGAATTGGCAGAACATGGAAACTGAGGCTCTAGAACTCAGACTTGGGCAGTTTCCCACCTTTCTGTCACCCTCAGGGCACCGCCCACCCCCCCTCCCCCCGCCCAGTTCTTGCTGCCATGGAAACCACCAGTTCCCACCCCACCTCCCTAAACCCCCACCTGCCCCAGCCCCATGGAGTGTTGGAGAGCCCTGCACAGTCGGGGCTTCCCAAGAGATTCTGGAACTCAGTGAATCTATTGATAGTATTTCACCTCATGATGAATCAAATTGCTTCCTGGGCTCTGCTGAAAATCTCGTCACTTTATACGGGTAACACATTCTGAGACCCAAGCGATCTCTTGGCACACAACCCTTTTAGAATTTGCAAACTACTATATATGAATTGCATTGCTGGCAGGTTGTTTTTTAATGCATATTTATATCTTTTCATGTATACTATGTAAAGTACCTGAGGAGTAACAAACAGCCTTAGCAGACTGGCGACATATCATTTGTTGGTAAATTGATCAAAGCCCTAGGCTCCACGGACTAACCAGCTCGCGGAAATTTTGAAATGTAAAAGCATAAAATTCCTCTTGCATTGTTCAGGGTGCTACTCGTTGCTTCTAACTAATGAAAACCAGTTTTTTTTCTGTTGGGACACTTTCAATAAATCATCAAACATAAATTCTCTTAGGGAGAAAAATAAACAAACCATATCAGGCTGGGAGAAATTTCAGCTTAAAACCTTGCTTTAAAAGAAAACAGTTACATGGGGCGCCTGGGTGGCGCAGTCGGTTAAGCGCCCGACTTCAGCCAGGTCACGATCTCGCGGTCCGTGGGTTTGAGCCCCGCGTCGGGCTCTGGGCTGATGGCTCAGAGCCTGGAGCCTGTTTCTGATTCTGTGTCTCCCTCTCTCTCTGCCCCTCCCCCGTTCATGCTCTTGTCTCTCTCTGTCCCCAAAATAAATAAACGTTGAAAAAAAAAAAAAGAAAACAGTTACAGGTGATGTTCTGCAAACAGGGCAGAAAGAGGGCAGGCAATAAGAAGAAAGGCTGGGGGCTCGGGTTGCCCTCCCCGCCCCCCCCCCCCCCCCCCAGCAAACATTTGAGGAGGGGTCCAGTGTGCCTACTCTCATAAGCATGAATATTGGTAAATAGTTTGATTTCAGCCAGGATTTCTTGGTTTGAATCCAGCTGAATCAAATCACATGACACAAAATACTTTTCTTCCAATAAATTTTGATGGATTTTGAGCACTTTATGAGGAACACTGTGCAGTCTAGCATGCGATATCTACCTAGAGAACCCGAAGGAAGGGAGAGATCTCTCATGCCCACCAATTTTAAGTCAGTCCTTCCCTCTGGCTTATGCTTTGAGAAAACATCAAAACATGCAATAAAGAAAAGTGATGAAAAAAAAAAAAAAAGGGGCGCCTGGGTGGCGCAGTCAGTTAAGCGTCCGACTTCAGCCAGGTCACGATCTCGCGGTCCGTGAGTTCGAGCCCCGCGTCAGGCTCTGGGCTGATGGCTCAGAGCCTGGAGCCTGTTTCCGATTCTGTGTCTCCCTCTCTCTCTGCCCCTCCCCCATTCATGCTCTGTCTCTCTCTGTCCCAAAAATAAATAAATGTTGAAAAAAAAAAAAGAAAAGTGAACAATTTCTTCCCATTCCATCAGGCTTGTGCTGGTTGGGTCGAGCTCGTATGCTGAGTGCTCCAATTGAAAACAAACAAACAAAAATATGTCCTTGACTCTTTACAAGTGGTGTATTAGGGATGATCATTTTTATTCCTAAAGAACATTTCCAATGACTATCACTCATTGTTGAGCCACTTCCGATAACCAGTTTCCTGGGCATTTGTAGAATGGATTCCAAGCACAAATTCAGCAAACCTAACACTTTCTGAGACCGTGTTTATTACATAGCCCTGGGTAGAACTGTAGCACTTGGTTATCGCCATTTTAAGGCCTCTAAATAAACTTCCAAATCGAAGGGAAGCAGTTTTAGTTACACTTCATGCATATATTCATGAGTCATCTACAAGCTAAAAATTGGGTGGAAAACTGCACAGATATCACTTCCAACACACAGCGTCTAGTAAACAAAGCAAGCCCCAGAATAATATGGAACAGGATGTATAGCATTTTGCTATGGGTAAACTACTAAAATACACAAAATGCACGTGTGTGTGTGTGTGTGTGTGTGTGCATGTGTTTGTGTGTGCGGATGCAAAAAAAAAAAAAAAAAAAAAAAAGAGAGAGACGAAGATCCAGGATAAAAAACACCTGTTTGCTAATTTGGCTGCCTCCCAGCATAGAATAGGAAGAACCTGAACTTTGGGTTTTTATTATACGCACCTAGGATTTGTTGGGAGTTTTTTCACAGGCATGTATTTCTCTTGTAATTTGCAAAGGTTTATTTTTCTTTTAAAACCCTTCTCACTGGTCAGGCTTGGCTAGTGAGAGGAGCCAGTTCCTGAAAAAAATGCTTATGAAAAAGAGATCATTGTAATTATACCAAGAGGTGACAGTCATAGAAATGTGGCTAGAAGCCACCAGATATTACAAGCACTTCTTCAACATTAAAACAGTATTTTTTATTTATTTTTTTATTTTTTATTTATTTTTTTTAATTTTTTTTTTCAACGTTTATTTATTTTTGGGACAGAGAGAGACAGAGCATGAACGGGGGAGGGGCAGAGAGAGAGGGAGACACAGAATCGGAAACAGGCTCCAGGCTCTGAGCCATCAGCCCAGAGCCCGACGCGGGGCTCGAACTCACGGACCGTGAGATCGTGACCTGGCTGAAGTCGGACGCTCAACCGACTGCGCCACCCAGGCGCCCCAAAACAGTATTTTTTTAATGCGTATTTATTTTTGAGACAGAGAGAGACAGAGCATGAGCGGGGGAGGGGCAGAGAGCGGGAGACACAGACTCGGAAGCAGGCTCCGGGCTCCGAGCTGTTAGCACAGAGCCCGACGCGGGGCTCGAACTCACGGACTGTAATATGATCCTTTAAACGGAAGCACCTATGGTCTAACAGTGTGCAGATGACCAATCTGTAACTGGCCCGAGCACACAGGACCAGCACCCACTCTTTACGAGAGCCCTGACCACCAGGCCTGCCGATACAGGCTCTCAGAATCAGGGCTACAGCATGGCTTCGGCAGAGAGGCTCCACGAGCAAGTCCAAAAACAAAAGTTAGAGCCAACTGACACACGGGAACCAACATCAAGAGGTTTCAAAATCTGGCCCACACCGGGATCTTAAAAGCAGACTCCATTGCCAACCTTTAAACAATTGCAAACCTAAAAGAATCGGGTGATTTTGTGTACGATATACATTTCTAGCCTCACTTTAATAACTGGCAACTGATACCACAGGGCCAAGATTCATTGTGGCAACACTCACCTGAGCTAAATATCCACTGCCCTCTCTAGACGGGGCACCATTCTGGGGTTTTCTACAGTTCTCCCCACTCTGTATTATTTTCCATCCTTTCCTTCATTTCTCATTTCATTGCTGGCTTGGTCCTTGAAGGACTTGTGTTTACGGTCACTGCATTTATTTATTTATTTATTTATTTACTTATTTGTTGTTTATTTATTTATATAATTTATTGTCCAACTGGCTAACATACAGGGTATACAGTGTGCTCTTGGTTTTTGGTATAGATTCCCGTGGTTCATCGCTTACATACAACACCCAGGGCTCATCCCAACACGTGCCCTCCTCAGTGTACTGCATTTAAAACAAGGAAGGCCAGGGGCACCTGGGTGGCTCAGTCTGTTAGGTGTCCGACTCTTGGTTTCAGCTCAGGTCATGATTTCATGGTTCGTGGGTTCGAGCCCCACATCGGGCTCTGCGCTGACGGTTCCTTACCTTAAGGAATCTGGAATGCAGTAGAGAAGACAGGACAGGCATCAGTGTCATTAAATCTAGGAATAAATTTGGCCCTCAAACCTTCTTGTCTTCCTTAAGCATAACTAGCAATCAGTAGCTGATCCTGCGTTTGAAATTCCTTGAAAAGGTTAAATTTCATCCATCTGAACATTTGTGGAACTTCTATTAAGGGTATGTTTACACATTGGCAATTAAAACAAAAATTTTTTTTTTAACATTTATTCTTGAGAGACAGAGACAGAGCGTGAGTGCGAGCAGGGGAGGGGCAGAGAGAGAGAGACACACACAGATCTGAAGCAGGCTCTAGGCTCTCGGCTGCTAGCACAGAGCCCGATGCAGGGCTCGAACCCATGGACTGTGAGATCACGACCTGAGCTGCGGTCGGATGCTCAAGTGACTGAGCCACCCAGGCACTCCATGGGAGGAGGGAGAGGATCCCAAGCAGTCTCTGTGCTCTCAGCACAGGGTCTGACTCAAGGCTCGATCCCACAAACTGGGAGATCATGACCTGAGCTGAAATCAAGAGCCAGATGCTTAACCAACTCGGCCACCCAGGCGGCCCTACACAAGCGAGCTTTTAATTCATAAGAGACAGGAAGTTGTCCCCTTTTTTGAGTGGGTGCAAAGTCTTCTCCCTTGCCGGGGTTAAATGATCTTCTTTTTCTCGACTTGGTTTACCTTCGCTTTGGTGGTTGGTTCTGGGAGAGCAGCATAACAGAATCTGTGCCAGTGTCAGTGACCTGTGAATAGTAAACATCACCCATGTCTCACGGACTTCCAGGAAGACGTGCCAGTGCCACAGAGCCCACGGGCAGGAGTGCCCGCATCACCTGCTAGGGCCCTCGCAGCTAAAATCGTGAGCTCTTCCTGGCCTTCGCTGTGTGGGAGGAAGGAGGCTAATTTTTTGGTAGTTGAAGTTAATATAATTTTACCTTGTGGATCCATGTCTTTTCTCTGATTTCTTAAGATAATACTTCAAAGCTCTCCCTTTTATCACAGGGCTGGAGGCCTAAAAACATTTCCCAAACTCGCTCTTACTGGCGTAGTTCTGGTTTGGAGCCCTCACAGGGAAGATGGTAGTGAGATCGTTGTAGCAGAAGCCATTTTGCTCCTGGAGCACCGGCAGCCTAGTGTGGAAGGTTCCGCAGGATGACAGACGTGAGGTTTGGCCAGCAGCTTCTGGGTGCCTTGC